CCCATGCTAATAGAATGGAGTACCTCTACACAGAGAGCACTCCAAACCACAGAAATAGCAGTATGAGATATTTCTCAATAATGGAGACAGGAACAATTGTATATGGTCAGTACTGACTCAATCTTCTCCCTTACTACAGAGATAGGTATTGTCCCTAATGAGGGAAGACTCCAGATACTAACAGTGTTAGAAAGGAAATATTGGTCAGCGCTGGTTATAATCTCACCCTTGCTGAGTAAGCTATGGTAAGGTGAGGAGGATACTGGTCCCTTGCAGATGTAAAATCTGGGAATAAAACCCAGTAAAGAAATTGAAATAAAACTGAAAATTTCCATTTCTTTACTCCCTCCTCCCCCATGAAGAACACTGATCGCCGGCGGGGGAACGGCGGTGATTGGGTAAGTACATGAGAGAGGGAAGGAAGGTTTTTTTTTATTATTATTATTATTCTTCACTGAGTGCCTAATGGCTTCCAATGCTCTGCCTCACTGCCGGGGTCCATGTGGAGGGGGGACGATCAGTCGGGAGGGGTATTGAACGATGCCTCAACATTGAGGCATTGCTGCAATTCTGCTAGAGCTTCCAGCACTCTAATTAGCCACGGACATATCAGGTACATCTGCGGTCCTTAAAGACCATTTTTTGTTGGACATACCGGATATGGCCTTGGTCGGGAAAGGTTTAAAGGAACACTATAGTCACCTGAACAACTTTAGCTTAATGAAGCAGTTTTGGTGTATAGAACATGCCCCTGCAGCCTCACTGCTCAATCCTCTGCCATTTAGGAGTTAAATCCCTTTGTTTATGAACCCTAGTCACACCTCCCTGCCTGTGACGTGCACAGCCTTCCATAAACACTTCCTGTAAAGAGAGCCCTATTTAGGCTTTCTTTATTGCAAGTTCTGTTTAATTAAGATTTTCTTATCCCCTGCTATGTTAATAGCTTGGTAAACCCTGCAAGAGCCTCCTGTATCTGATTAAAGTTCAATTTAGAGATTGAGATACAATTATTTAAGGTAAATTACATCTGTTTGAAAGTGAAACCAGTTTTTTTTTTCATGCAGGCTCTGTCAATCATAGCCAGGGGAGGTCTGGCTAGGGCTGCATAAACAGAAACAAAGTGATTTAACTCCTAAATGACAGTGAATTGAGCAGTGAAATTGCAGGGGAATGATCTATACGCTAAAACTGCTTTATTTAGCTAAAGTAATTTAGGTGACTATAGTGTTCCTTTAATAAGTATAATACATATCAATTCTAAGTATACCACTATTATTTATTCGAGTGCTCCAAAAAAACAAAACAAAAAAACACACATTTTGATGAATATGTTTCTAATAAGCCCCAGTTGTACACATATGTTGAGCCTTAGAAGCAAAAATACTAGATTGTTAAGCGCTTCTCTCTAATTTTTTTTATATCTCTTTAAAAAGGTGAAAAATACTGATGGTGAATACTACCATAGGCAATAATTTCCAACTTTGAAGTATTTCTAATTGCGCTGACCTAAAATGATATGCCGTCTATATACAATAAAATTCTAATTTAGCTACTCCTTCCTATCTAAAATCTATGCAAATTGACTTCCATTCCCCTCTATTCCCAGAAACTGAGAACATTTCCTTCAGTAACATTGTATTGAATACATATCAAATTGTTAATAAACATCACTAGCTTAAGGAGAGATTGACACTTAAAGAAACAATTTATAAACCGGTTTATGAACCACAAGAGCTGTACAATTAGTGGAGAATGTACAATATACTGTTACGGGCAAATGCAAATATTACAAGTTTTAGAATGAAATGTTGTATTTCTTAAACTGTGTACTTTGTCTTTAAGAGATATTGCAAACTGACAAGGTGTTAGAAATGGAACATATTGTTTTTCATAACGGTTTCTTTAAGCAATAACCTCAGTGCATGATATGTTTGCGCCATTTTGTCCCAGACGAATTACAATAACAATAATGCATAAACAAGCTTCAAGGCTATGCTACGACTCTTGCAGTACACAATATACTGTAGTAACCCCAAGTTAATGGAACTTCCCCAAATCCGGGAATCTCCCATGACTGTACACTTACGACTTAGTATAAACAACAGATAACCTATTCAGACTTTAAGATGCCATCTTGAACTAAGTCAGGAAAATTTCCATGACGTATACACCCTTTAGTTATGGCCTTGTATGTTTGCCAAATTAAGGGAGGTCCTAAATTGAATAAAGTAAAAGAAGTGTTACTTTTTCATATTTGAACTACAGTAACCTAAAATGGAGACACCTAAGGTATAAATAGGTGTACTTTTAAATGTTAAGACACAGAGGAGAGACTTGGAGACAGACGCTGCTCCATCTTAAAATGACAGAGAGGCTGGCATGATGACATGTTCAGAAGGGTATGTTAACCTATTAATGATATTTGCAAGCATGTAATTTAATCTTATAAACTCTGCTATAATGGATTTTATATTTTTATATAATAAATATCCAAAAAGACAATCTTGCTTCCAAGACAATCCTTATTTTATATTGTATTCTCAATTATTTTTTTTATGTTTAATAGAGGATCTCTTACACTATATAAAATTATGGCTAAGATATCTGTATGGTTAGCCCTACTAAGTTCTATGCTTTAAGACATTATAGTGGTAAATAAGGGAACCACACACGGTTACAATTGGCGACCACGAAGGGACTTTGTACTTGGAAGCTTTAAATATAAAATAAATACCTAGGTAACCTCTTATACGTAAGAGAAGACACAGTACTTTGTCATGGCACAAGTCTTGAAATATCAAGAATCTATTGAGGTATGTGTAGCCCAGACTCAGAGAGAGATCTTCATCATAAGAGATGATTTTAATGTGAACAAAGCCCTTTAGGTGCCAGGTACAACGTAATTAACATACAATGCTGAAATTGTGGATCTTAACTAATATCATAATAGAACAAATATACATATTTGGTAAACTTCCTGATATGCCTAATACACCAGCACAGCATGGCCCGTTAGTTCCAGGACAGTGGATTGCAGGCAAGGGGATATGTTCTCTTTGTAGTTGCTTAGTATGCATATGCAGGAAAAAGATTAATGCAAAATGTTGTCAAAAGAAAAGTGATAAGACAGAGCGATTTAAATTTGAAGTCTAATTCCAAGAATGCAAAGACAAATGCATTATGGCTTAATGAAAACATTCATGCAACAGACAGACAGGATTTTTAATTATTGCATTACTGCGTTCTGGATTCTAATGTCCACTATATATGAAAAGTTTTATAAAACAGTGATATTTTCCATATTGTCAGTTACGCTAGCTGTTGATTAAAAATCAGAAATTATAACAGCATAACTATTTTTGGAGTCTGGAATTTCCAGCCAAGGTTGCGGAGATACAGAGACATGTAAACATTTCAAGGAATTGAGAAGTCGTTTTATATTCCAAATTATTAACAACATTATTACATACAGCCATAAAGAGAAAGACATGGCTTTTAAATAAATTCAGTGCAGTACAATGCAGTACACTGCAGCATGTATTTTATATAATATATAACTAGCTCATATTTTTTTCCTAAACAGTTGAAATTATACTACCCTCCTAGAAAAAAAGGGCAACAGGTGGTTATACATCCTTTGCTTCTCTAAATGCTCTGCAAAAATAAATATTGATAAAATGATTAAAAATAATATATACGTAAGATAAATCAGGGCTAAATAAAATTGTAACTATACAGGATCTCTGATAACTTTTAAACTGAAATTATTAAAGGCTTATTTAAATAAAAATTTGAAATACATTTACAGCTTTAAATGTGACCAAAAGATATTAAATGATGTGTTAAGCAGCCAGCCCAATTCACTAGAATAGCATAAGTATTCTACTATTTAAAGTGCACAATTCCTGCACATAATGACTTTGCTTACTCAGGTACAGTCTTTAGTCTATTGCAATGGCAGTAAAGTCCACCAATTTTAAAAGGGAAAGCTTACTTAAATCAGTGGTACTATCCCACCATACTAGCAGTAAGGAAATTAGAACAACAGATCAGACACATGTAATCTCAGTGAATTTCATAAACTAGGTTTTCATAAAATAAGATTAAATATCAATGTTGTTTATAAATAAAAGTATGTAGACTAGGCAATAACAGCATTTACATGCATTCAGCAGCCTGCCCTCTCAAAGCCAGAAACGGATTTATAAACAAATAAAAAGTAGGTTTTAAAAAGTCCACAGTCAACCACACATGAAGGGTGAAATAATTGCTTCTTTAAAAGCTATATGCTGCCGCAATTATGTATATAAATACAGATTAGGGCAAAGAGTAAAAATAAAAATACAGTTTCAAATCTCACATATGGGGATTCAGTTCCACCACATATTCTACAATTCTGAAAGAGGCTAATTTTAATAATATGTTGTAAAAGCACATATAATGCAAAATTAATTTGATATTGCAAAGCCTGCAATATTCTAAACAGACATTAAAATTTAAGAAAAAAAGAAAAATAATAATGCAGAAAGAATAATGCATAAAAAAATGCAGTGTCAATTAGTGATACTACTCTGATATATTAAATCACATTGCATATCACATATCTGCTATATGAAAAGTATAATTAAGGTGACATTATTAAGGTATAATTAAGGTCCAAAGCCCCCTCACATCTATTTTATAGAATCTATACTTTTCAGTGGTCACCTCCAAAGAAGCCTCTGAAACTGGGGGGGCTCAGAGGGGTGCTCATCCCAAAAGGAATCAGATTCTAGACTTAAATTTTTTTTAAAAATAAATAAATGATAGAAAAGGAATCACGGGAACACCCAGAACATGCATTTTTGTATATAATCTTAATTTGCAGCTATTTTATGCCTTAAAGACATATAAAGGATATTTAATTAAATATGCAGGTATCTTTAAAAATTAAGCAAAGTTAAAAATAAATAAATAAAATAAATAATAATAATAAAAAATATATTTTACACCACAATATAAACAGCTTTGTTAAACAGATTTAAGTACAAGTACTTATGTCAAGAAATATACAGAATACGTTTCCAACAGGCAGGTTTAGCATAAATGCAAAGTTGTTGTTTTTGGGGATTTATTATTGCCCAAGAAATCTCTGAACATATACAGCAAGTATAGATAGCAGATTGCAATGGACACCATTACAATATTGCTTTGCCGATTGAGGTCAGAGATTTAAAGAATAAATGTTCTATAGCTCGCTAGATCACTGGCTTTTAATGAACAGTTTGCACAACACTTATAAAATAGTTTGTAATACTGCACATTATAGCTGTGACAACATAATACACATGGTAAAAATGCTATTTCACTGTTTAATAGACTTACCCAGTATTTAAGGACGACATGTTTTTTGCAAAGTCATCGGGACTTTGAGGGAGGTTCTAACTACGTTTAATTAATTAATTAACTTACTAAAGAAAAAAGAAGAGGTTTTATTTTTCCCCTGCAAGTGAGTTTTCAGGTCATTTTGTGTTCACAGACTATTCGGATTTTTAGCGGTTCTTTATCTCACATTATGAACGGCCTTGTAATTCCTATGCACACTAAAAGTTGGCTTTTAAATGTTATTGTTTTAACTTTAATATTTCATAGTTAATACAGAGGATAAAGTAATATAAAGAAAGTATATTAATTGATAGGATTTCATTTATCTATTTTGGTCCACTGATCTCGAGTCTCAGTCTGGTGTTCAAACAGTTTTTCTTACGATACGTCGTGAGTTTATATCCACAACTGCATTTTGCTTTGTGGTAACAAATTGAAAGCCTGGCATTGTAATATGTGTATGGACATGCTTATAACAAAGCATGGGCCCTCTCCTCATGTAGTTGGTCATTAACAGGCACTTTGATGCAATGTGTCTACCAACGCTTTTCTGTGGTCACTGGATCACATCGCATACCCTATCTCTCAGTCATGATGCAGAGTTTATGCTTGCAAGGATATCCAGACCTTATCCACCTGGTATCCGCATAAATACTCCTATCGTTTACAGGGGTTAATTACATAATAACCATTGAAGGTAATATGTTGGTTGTTCTTCCTATAGAGGAAAGATAGACTTGCCCTAAAAGCTTTTTCATGGCTAAGACAAGCTTTTATAGAGAGAGGTAATGTACTTCTGACTCCTGAAAAGGAATACTGGTGGTCCAATATGGGAAATACTGTAATTCATGTGTTTAGTAATCATAAGCATTTGCTTATTGCCACATTACTGATGTACTGTTTATTGAAATATTAACATCTAATGTACTTTTTGAATTACTATATATTGGAAGTGTGCCAACATCTCATGGTTATAAATATGTTTTTGTATGTGCTGATGCATGTACCAGGTTTACATGGATATATCCTGTGCGAAGTGCAACCTCTGATGCCACGTTTTCTAGTCTCACTTCCTTAGTATGCATTTGATAATCCCAGGACCATCCATTTGGATGGTGGTCCTGCAGTTACCGCAAAGGAAACCTAAAACTGGGCAACCACATTTGGGTTACTTTGGGATTTCAGTGCCCCAACCACCCCCAAAGAAGTGGGGTTGTGGTCTGGGAAAATGCTGAGGTTAAATGATTATTAACCAAGTTACTAGTTGCTTGCCCCACACAGTGGTATCTATTTATTCCTATGGTACAGATAAGCATTCACAACATACCTGATGATACAAATGGTGAGACACCATATGAAATGTTACATGTTTTTTCACTGACAAACATATTTCTGCACCAGGGAGAGCTTAGAACCATTGGTTCTATTAGAGAAATTTAGGGAATTTTTTTTCCAGCCCACCTCGCCTTGCACCACCACCTATTTCCTTCTGTTGGCCAGTTTGTCCTGGAGAGGGTGACTCCGAGAACTTTTACTACAGAGAACAATCAGAGCCAACAGAGAACAGTAAGTTTTGATATTTTACAACCTGCTAAATATTAACAGGACATTCACAGAACCACTGACTGACACAATGGATGCTGTTAAAGATGGCAAGATAAAACAGAGGACGACAGAAAAGCCACCAGAATCATAGCCACGTAACAGACTGAATCATGATCTGACATCTGAACCTGCAAATGTGAAGGAGAAGGATGAACAGACAGACGTGATACATTCACAGTTAACATGGAATGTATGAAAAATGAATCATCAACATCATTATAAGACAGACTCTGGAGAAAACAGACTCAACCTGAATTATCTTATACAGTAAGAAAGAAATTCAAAGATGGAAGCAAAAGGATGCTAGAAAATTGGAGTCTCCTTCTTACAATCTGCAGCATTATCATAACATCAACCCTAGCTGTTTTAAAACTGCATTGGGATTATGTTAACAAGCAGGAAGCACCTGAACTGAATTGAACTGTACACTATACAAGTTCTGTGATCGTGAGGACTACCTCCAAGAACCATCTCGAAAGGAGAGACACAGCTCACAGTGAAATTATTGCCTACACTGGTATTTCATAAGGAACCTATTGAGATCATTCCAAAAAAACGATTATACATGAGAAAGATGTGATTGGACAATTACAAATCCTAATAATGGAATCAACAATGATGGCAAAGCATGCTGAAAGCAGAAAAAGACGGGAAAGATGCTTTGGATGCACCTATGAAGGTGATGCAAGAAAAGACTTTGCCATATAGTTTATCACTGAATGACTACAGCAAACAGCCTTCTTATGCTGAAAAGAAGTGCTATACTAATTTTGGACATTGCTATTATCCAAACAGACGATAACCGGAAAAAGAAATAAAGGCTGATAACTGTCAACACCCAGCTATTCCTTAAGATGGAACATGGTACTGAGAAAACCTGATTGACTATCAAAGCACGTAACAGTACAAGACACAGATTGTTGCCTACAACTCAGAAAAAGTGGTTTATAGGAAGGAGCAGAAGAAGAGGAATATAGATTTCCTACTGGAGTGAAAAACCATCCTGGAACAATATTCTGTAACAATGAACTTTACAATGACATTTGGTGGCATATGAATTTGAATTTGGTAGAAACACATCAATTAACTAAAGAAACCTTGATGCAATTAATAAATAATAACAATACCGGCTTACTAAGAGCAGATGCCCTGCCAAGAGAATGGAATATAAAAAGACCAACAAAATCTTTCAGAAACCTGACATCATGGGACACTTGTACTAAAGCACGATTTGCAGCTTTTCTTAAACTCTACATATTATGTACATACCTGCAAAGCAAGGAACTCCTGTAAACATAAACACAGAGACATTGATACAACAAGGAATCTGTAATGGTTCTGTTGCAGATGTGATCTACCGTCGTACTCCTTGCTCTTTTGGTATAACTATACCAATCAAAACGTTAAATGGCTCCATAGAATCAAACGACAAAGGATTCTTGCTATATTCTGGACTTCCAGGAATGTGGTGCATGGACCGAAAATTATAATTACTAAAGCAATCATGCTATTTTTTTCCCTGTATCAGAAATGTGTCAGTGACAATGTGTAATACAATACAGATACTATAATTAATGGCATAAGAAACACATAATGTGTTAATTACAAAGGTGGATAGACTTTGTGAAAATCTGAAACGCAATTGAAGATTATTGCTAAAATGCCATATGCAGCTGCAGTCTGGCCTACAAACAAATATATTAAACATACGTAGAAGAGTATAACAGCTAATTACCAAGATGAATAATTGAATCATGATAGTTAAAGATCATATGATTGCAATAACAACTGCAATAATGAATAAGGTTTAAACTTTAGAAGAAAATATAAAATGTTTTTATTAAAACAGAAACTACTCAATATTCGTTTAAGTTTGCAGAGTGGTATAATTAATATAAGTGAAATACTCCAACAGTTAAAATTTAACTGAAAGACAGGCAGAAACTTTACTTCAACTATCATAAAGTTTATTTATAATGATAAAAATATTTAGTCTGCCAGAGCTAAGGCCAGTCAATGGAAAGTAAAAGAGTATTGTGGATTAACCCGTCCAGGTGATATACATGATTATTTTGGAAATTGATCATTTAGGTCACCTATTGCAAACTGATTATTTTGGAAATTGATCATTTAGGTCACCTATTGCAAACTGGTGAAAAGATGTCCGAGATATAAATTCAACATCCATGCCACTCTGTGTATATATTAAAATACACGTAATCAAATATTTTATCATTTTTTTTTCTCAAATACCAAAAAATTTAATTTGGTTTGTGATGGTTAAAGATACATAAAACCACTTATACAAAGATAGAGTTGAAATATAAATACCTTCAATATTGTATCTGAGTGCTTTCTTAACTCACTTTTAGAAATAATAATACAAATTCTAATCATCTTAAGCTACACCCAACAGCCACTGAAAAATATACTTAAACAATTTAGATTCACATTGTTAAGCATCCAATCTCACGAATGTAACTTTCCACAATGGCTGTCA